CAATGTATCTACGTATCTGGTGTACAGCATCTGGGCTCTGGGTCATCTGTTCATGTCTCTTGTGAGTTTTTTGTTTTCCCCTGCTGATTGTTTCTGACTGTTTGCCTGCCTGCCTGGTCATCTCATCTGTAGGCTGGTGTTCTTTAGTTTAACATTAAGGAGTTTTAGTGTGCAGTGATAATTTTAAGTCAGGAGGAGCTGATGGTGGTTTCAAGCTTTGGAAAACCAAAGGTGTGAAGAGTGTAGAACACCTGTACATAGATGGCTACTACTTAGCTTTGAACTAACATGCAAAAAATAGGCTGCACCCCCCCAAAAACTTTTTATTCACATTTTAATGCCGGGTATTTTGGCTCCATCAGTCTTTTGATATTTAAAATCTTTTATATGAGTGACATCATTTTGTGAATGTTTGTTTTGTTGTATGTTTCTGTAAAAGAGAGGGACATCAGTCGAGATATTGTCCTCTCATTTTTTAAACTCAAAAACAGTTACATTCAGTTCAGTTGAGATGGACATTTGGTCTCCTGTCTGCACCTTGCTACGTGGTGAGTGATGAGCCTCCTCTGTGTGACCATAACAGGCAAAGTAAGGGCTTATCTCCACAACTGTATAAACGCTTAGAGTACAAATTCAAATCAAATTCAAATTCAAAGCAAATCCATCAGTGTTGTAGATAAAGGAGCCAAGAAGCTTCCCTCTGTTGAGAACAAGTGAAACTGGAACACAAAACATGATAAAAGCATCTTTAATATCTCTTAAAAAGCAACTCCAACTGACAAACCAGCAAAGTGCAGTTAAATATTCAATACACTTTAGAAGTGAAATTCCTATTTTAATTTTTTTTAATGACCTGGATCCATCAGTCTTTTTATTGTCAATCTTTTATATGATTATTTCTTTTTGCTCGCAGTATTACAAGTTATATTTTGCTTTTTATTTTATCATCTTGTTAAACATCAATGCAGATCCTTCACACGTGTCAGTCCTTGACCATCATCAGTGCTGCTGACATGCTACACTATTCACAACATCCTCACATACACACACATATAATTAGTCTTTGATGTTGAGTGGTTTAGCACTTGTATGACAGGTCACTGT